GCAATCCCACTGAAATCAGGGACAAGACAAGGCTGCCCACTCTCTCCATATCTCTTTAACATTGTACTTGAAGTCCTAGCCAGAGCAATAAGACAACTAAAGGAGATCAAGGGGATACAAATCGGAAAGGGAGAGGTCAAAGTGTCACTATTTGCAGATGATATGATAGTATACATGAGCGACCCCAAAGATTCAACCAGAGAACTTCTTCAGCTGATAAACACCTTCAGCAAAGTGGCAGGATACGAAATCAACTCAAAAAAATCAGAAGCCCTCTTGTATACCAAAGACAAAAGGGCCGAGAAAGAAATTAGGGAAACAACACCCTTCACTATAGCCACTAACCACATAAAGTACCTTGGGGTGACACTAACCAAGCAAGTGAAAGACCTGTTTGAGAAAAACTTCAAGTCTCTGAAGAAAGAAATTGAAGAAGATCTCAGAAGATGGAAAGATCTCCCGTGCTCATGGATTGGTAGTATTAACATTGTGAAAATGGCCATCCTGCCAAAAGCAATCTACAGATTCAATGCAATTCCCATCAAAATACCAACTCAATTCTTTACAGACCTTGAAAAAAAGATTCTCAGCTTCATATGGAGAAACAAAACACCCAGAATCTCCAAAACGATCCTGTACAACAACAGATCATCTGGAGGTATCTCCATTCCCGATCTCAAGCTGTACTACAGGGCAACAGTAATAAAAACTGCATGGTATTGGCACAGAAACAGAAAGGAGGATCAATGGAATCGCATAGAAGACCCAGAAATAAACCCACACACCTATGAATACTTAATATTTGACAAAGAAGCCAAATCCATTCAATGGAAAAAAGACAGCATCTTCAACAAATGGTGCTGGACCAACTGGATGTCTACATGCAGAAAAATGAAAATAGATCCATATTTATCACCCTGCACAAAACTAAAGTCCAAGTGGATCAAGGACCTCAACATAAAACCAGATACTCTAAATCAGCTGGAAAAAAAAGTGGGAAACAGCCTAGAACTCATTGGCACAGGAGACAACTTCCTGAACAGAACACCAACAGCACAGGCTCTAAGAGCAACAATCAATAAATGGGACCTCATGAAACTGAAAAGCTTCTGTAAAGCAAAAGACACTGTCATCAAAACAAATAGACAGCCTACAGATTGGGAAAGAATCTTCACCAACCCTTTATCTGACAGAGGGCTAATATCAAGTATATATAAAGAACTAAAGAAGCAGAAAAGCAACAAACCAAGTAATCCACTTAAAAAATGGGGAACAGAGCTAAACAGAGAATTCTCGAAAGAGGAACATCGAATGGCAGAGAAACACTTAAAGAAATGCTCAACCTCATTAGCCATTAGGGAAATGCAAATCAAAACGACCCTGAGATTTCACCTTACACCCATCAGAATGGCCAAGATGAAAAACTCAAGTGATAGCACATGCTGGAGAGGTTGTGGAGAAAAGGGAACCCTCCTCCATTGCTGGTGGGAATGTAAACTGGTTCAACCACTTTGGAAGTCAATCTGGCGCTTTCTCAGGCAACTAGGAGTAGTGCTACCTCAAGACCCAGCTATTCCACTCCTAGGTATATACCCAAAATTTTCTCAAGTACACAACAAGGACATTTGTCCAACCATGTTCGTAGCAGCTTTATTTGTAATAGCCAGAACTTGGAAACAACCCAGATGTCCATCAATGGAGGAATGGATACAGAAATTGTGGTATTTTTACACAATGGAATACTACTCAGCAATCAAAAAGGAGGAAATCATGAAATTTGCAGGCAAGTGGTGGGATCTAGAAAAGATCATTCTGAGTGAAGTATCCCAGAAGGAGAAAGACAAACTTGGTATATACTCGCTTATATAGACCTACAAGATATGATAAACATAATGAAATCTACACACCTAAAGAAGATAATCAAGAAAGTGGACACAGGCGAAGGTGATTAATCCTCATTTAGAAAGACAAATGGGATGTGCCTTGAACTTATGACAGGAGTCTACCACAAAAGGCATCTGAAAGATTCTACCTAGCAGTGTTTCAAAGCAGACACTAAGACTCATAACCAAACCCTTGGCAGAGTGCAGGGAATCATATGAAAGAAGGGAAGTTAGTATGATATGGAAAGGATAGGAGCTCTACAAGGACCAAATATATCTGGGCACAGGGTCTTTTCTGAGACTGACACTCAACCAAGGACCATCTATGGATATAACCTAGAACTTCTGCTCGGATGTGGCCCGTGGGAGCTCAGTAACCAAGTAGTTTTCCAAAGTAAGGGGAACACGGACTATTTCTAACAGGATCTCAAGGGCAGGCTATTTGACCCCCCCCAGGGGAGGAGCAGTCTGTTAGGCCACAGAGGAGGACTTTGCAGCCAGCCCTGAAGATACCTGATAAAACAGGGTCAGATGAAAGGGGAGGAGGTCCTCCCCTATCAGTGGACTTGGAAAGGGGCAGGGAGGAGACCAGGGAGGGAGTGTGGGGTTGGGGAGGGAATGAGGGAGCGGGATACAGCTGGGACACAGAGTTAACAAAATGTAACTAAAAATAAAAATAAAAAATAATGGCCATCTTACCAAAAGCAATCTACAGATTTAATGCAATTCCCATCAAATTGCCAACACAATTCTTTACAGACCTGGAAAGAAAAATTCTCAACTTCGTATGGAATAACAAGAAACCGAGAATTGCTAAAACAATCCTCTACAATAAAAGATCTTCTGGAGGTATCTCCATCCCTGATCTCAAGCTGTACTATAGAGCAACAGTTATAAAAACTGCATGGTACTGGCATAGAAACAGAATGGTGGATCAATGGAATCGAAGAGAAGAACCAGAAATAAACCCACACACTTACGGACACCTGATTTTTGACAAAGATGCCAAAGCCATACAATGGAAAAAAGATAGCATCTTCAACAAATGGTGCTGGTCCAACTGGATGTCTACATGTAGAAAAATGAAAATAGATCCATATTTATCACCCTGCACAAAACTGAAGTCCAAGTGGATCAAAGACCTCAACATAAAACCAGACACCTTAAAATGACTAGAAAAAAAAGTGGGGCATACCCTAGAACTCATTGGTACAGGAGAAAACTTCCTGAACAGAACACCAACAGCACAGGCTCTAAGAGCAACAATCAATAAATGGGACCTCATGAAATTGAAAAGCTTTTGTAAAGCAAAGGACACCGTCATCAAAACAAAGTGACTGCCTACAGATTGGGAAAGAATCATCACCAACCCTTTATCTGACAGAGGACTCATATCCAATATATATAAAGAACTAAACAAGCTGAAAAGCAACAAACCAAGTAATCCACTTAAAAAATGGGGAACAGAGCTAAAGAGAGAATTCTCTGTAGAGGAATATCGAATGGCAGAGAAGCACTTAAAGAAATGCTCAACCTCATCAGCCATTAGGGAAATGCAAATCAAAACAACCCTGAGATATCACCTTACACCCATCAGAATGGCCAAGATCAAAAACTCAAGGGACAACACATGCTGGAGAGGTTGTGGAGAAAGGGGAACCCTTCTCCACTGCTGTTGGGAATGTAAACTTGTACAACCACTCTGGAAATCAATCTGGTGCTTTCTCAGACAACTAGGAATAGCGCTTCCTCAAGATCCAGCCATACCACTCCTAGGCATATACCCAAAAGAGGCGCAAGTACACAACAAGGACATTTGCTCAACCATGTTTGTAGCAGCTTTATTTGTAATAGGCAGAAGCTGGAAACAATCCAGATGCCCCTCAACTGAAGAATGGATGCAGAAACTGTGGTACATCTATACAATGGAGTATTACTCAGCAATGAAAAATAAGGAAATCATGAAATTTGCAGGTAAATGGTGGGACCTGGAAAGGATCATCCTGAGTGAGTTGTCCCAGAAGCAAAGACACACATTGTATATACTCACTCATATAAACATACAACATAGAATAAACCCACTAAAATCTGTACATCTAAACAAACTAAGCCAAAGAGAGGACCCTAACTAAAATGTTCAATCCCCATCCTGAAAGGCAAAGAGGATGGACATCAGAAGAAAAAGAAAATAGGAAACAACCTTGGAACCTGCTACAGAGGGCCTCTGCAAGCTTCTGCAGTATAGACTGTCAAAGCAGATGCTGAGCTTGATGGCCAACTGATGGGCAGAGTGAATGGAATTTTATGTAAGAAGTGGGAAATAGTAAGAGCTGGAGGGGACAGGAACTCCACAAGGAGAGCAACAGAACAAGATAATTTGAACACAGAGAACTTCCCAGAAAATCATACTCCAACCAAGGACTATTCGTGGAGATGACCTGGAACCCCTGCACAGGTGTAGCCCATGGCAGTTCAGTGTCCAAGTGGTTTACATAGTAATGGGAAGAGGGACTGCCTCTGACATAATCTGATTGGCCTGCTTGTTGATCACCTCCCCCTGAGGGGGGAGCAGCCTTACCAGGCCACAGTAGAGGACAATGCAGCCACTTTTGATGAGAACTGATAGACTAAGATCAGAAAGAAGAGGAGAACCTCCCGTATCAGTGGACTTGGGGAGTGGCATACATGCAGAAAGGGGAGGGAGGGTGGGATCGGGAGGGGAGGAGGGAGGGGCTTATGGGGGATACAAAACGAATAAAGTGTAATTAATAAAAAATTAAAAAATAAAAAAAGAGAAAAAAAGATTCAAAGTAGTTTCTTTTCTTGAAAATGAATATATTATGTTTAAAGTCATCAAATCTTTTATATAAATAAGGTTGCTCTCTTCTATGAATTCTTTTCTACTTCTTGACTTCAAGATGATATATACAGTTTTAAGATATTTACATTACTACAGACATGGTTGTGAAGTTAAGACAAGTTCATTCCCAGGACCTAGGTCAGGTTTTTGACAACTTCTGTAATTCATGGTATGAGAAGATCAAAGGGCCTGGTCTTTATGGAAACCAGAATGGAGAGGCACTTAAACACGCAAAAACACACTGAAATTAATGGAAATTAAAACAAATTCTTAAACAAATATATGTTTAGTCAAGAATGTTTTACTTGTGTAGGCATGCATTCCTGTAACTCAGGGTTTGAGGCAACTACAGGCTTATCTACATATTTTTTTCTTCAATAAAAATCTCTTTATGTAACAGAAATTAAACATGTCAGTTTGAAGTCAGAGAAATGACTCCTTCTCAGTTGGTGGTATCATTTGTGAATGTTTAGGAAATGCAGCACTCTTGGAGGAAGTACGTTACTTGGGGTGGGCTTGATAGTTTCAACAGTACACCCATCTGTAGTTCCCACTCTCTGCTTCATGCTGCAGGTTAAGGATGTGAATGCGAAGCTTCCTACTTTAGCTGCATGTGTGACACTTATGATGCTCTTTCATAGTGATCTCACATCTCTCTGGAACCTTAAGGCAAATTAAACACATTTGGAAGTTACCTTTGACATTGTGTTTTTTCACAGAAAAGGCACTAATACAAACACATGAATTTTACAACTGGATAACTTATTTCATGAAAGTGAAGAGAACTGGGAAGTTTAAAAAGGCTATCTTAAGCTCTAAATTCCTAAGCCTTTTGTCCATGGCAGCTTTTAATTGGAAACAAAATAAGGATGGATGTCATAATGCATGAATACACTGGACACTTTTTACCATTTTCCTCCCAAATAATCTGAATACAAGTTGGTCAAAGACGTTAACAAATCTTTTATCCATCCTAACAGATTTTCTTGAGAATGAGTTCTTTCAGTTTCTCAAAGACTACTGTGATATGCAAAGTCTTTAAGAGGTTACTCACACACCAAAGCTTTTACTATTCCATAACAATACCATGAAGCATAAAGATTTATCATACTCACTACATTCATAGGGTTTCTCTGAAGTATGACTTTTTCTCATTTCAAAAACAACTCCATGAAAAAGATTTACCACATTGCTTATTCATACTGTTTCACTACAGTATGTGTTTTTTATGTATGTGGCCAAAACTGTGTTAAGAAAAGGCTTTATCACATTGATTTTATGTATAAGGTTTCTCTCTACTATCTGTTCTTTTATACACTTGAAGTTGACTTTGACCTGCAAAACATTTGAAAGTAATTTGCATGTGGGAACATGCTAAATAAATTCTATGTATTGCTTTTTAGATACCAGCCTCCACTGAACCTAAATTTAAGTCTGTAGTCTCTAGGAAAGCTTCAGACTTCCCAATAGCTGACTAGCTTTCATTATTCATCTTTTGTTTCCCCCAAAATGACTATTCTATACCATGTCTTCTATTCTCCTAACATAGTAACTGTTCCAAACCAGATTCTCTTCCCTAAAACATAATACCTTTTCCTAACCACAAAAGAACAAATGGATATGATTGTTTTGACTGCAAAACCTACATTTTGCATCAGGTGACTTCCACAATGACATAAACAAATCCCGTATCTCTAAACCCTGACTGATTTAAAAAAAAAAACTAGTTGTAAAACAGCACGTTTACAATTTTCAAGCTCAGAACCTCTGTAACTTTGTCTCACTGGGTGGGTAGGTATCACAGTTCAGTTCCCAAGACTGTTCTGTGGCCAATCATCCAGTAGTGAACTGGATGACAATGAATTTTCTCATTTGCATTGACCTAGTGTTTGAGTTATATTGGATTCAGTGGACTGAAGAACACAAAGGCCTTACCATATTGCTTATATTCTCAGAATTTAACTCCAGTATGAAATTTTTATGATGATGAAAAACATAGAGATGTGGAAAGGCCTCACATTTCTCTCCAATATGAATTCTTTCATGATGAAAAAGACTACACAAATGTGGAATAGCTTCACCATGTTTAATACACTCATAGACTTTCTGTCCAATATGAATTTTTTCATAACTTTGAAGATACTTGTAAAGAGCAAGTTTTACCACATTGGTTAAATTCAAAGGGTTTCTTTCCAGTCATAGGAGAGAGGTTTCTCTTTATGTCATAGGAGGTTACTATTACATCAAAAGGCTTTATCACATTGGCTAAATTCATAAAGTTTCTCTCCAGTGTGTATTCCTCCATGTGTATGGACAATATTATGGCATGCAAAGGCTTTGCGGCATTGGTTACATTCATAGGGTTTTGCTCTAGTAAGTGTTCTTGTCCTAGATGGCTCTTACATGAAAAGCCTTTATGATATTGCTTATATTCATAAAGATTTTCTGAAACAAGCAGTTTTATGTCTTAGGAGATGACTGTGTTGTACAAAGGTGATGCCACACTGAATACATTCATAAGGTTTTTCTCCAGGGTGTGTTCTTTTACGTCTTCAGAGACCTCGGAGCTTTAACACACTGACTGGATTAAATTTCCCTATATTGTGTGCCATGCTATATTTGCAAAGATAACTGGACAAACAGAAGCATTGTATATTCCTAAAACTTATATTTCCTGCAGTGTCAGTTTGTGAGTATTCATAATGAAGTTGAATAACCAATGAACTGATGTTGGTGTATACTGCGTGAAAGTGTGTCAGTGTATGTGAATATTGATTGCTGAGCCGCCAGAGAGCTAAATACTGGCCAGATTTTAGTATATGGCCCATCACCGGTCCTATATTTTGTAAACATTTGTCCTTACTTACTTATCTATTGGAAACAATAAAGAGCTACAACTGATAGCAGGGCACAAAATGGAGGGCAGAATTTCTGAGAGAATGTTGCTGGGAAGGAAGAAGAAAGCAAAAGACAGGTAAATCACCAGCAGGTCACTGAGGTTAACAGATGGATATGAACATGAACAAAGTGGTACAGCTGGCCATGCAGCAGGACACCATGCTAGATTTGGGTTAAGGGGAAAAGAGGATTCAGAATCTGCCCAGTTAAATTGCTTAAGCTTAAAAAAATATTAAAATGCTCTGTATGGCTGGTAATTATGAAGATCCCATATAAATCATAACAGGATCATATTTTAAAAATCTACTCAAAATGGGGGCTATTATATCTTAGTTGTTTTGGGAGGTACATTGCTTCTTTCAATATCCCTATGCTAACATGGTTTGTATTCATTGTGACATATGATATACCCATTAAAAGAATAATAATAAATGACATGGTTTCACACTGTATTTACACATTTGATTTGTGTTTATCATAGACATGTGCAATATGGATTATGGTTTTTCCACAACATTTTTGACTCTAAGAAACTGCCTTTGCCACAAAACTTAGCAAAATTACTACAAGCATGTGAGTAACTCCAGCTTTACTATGGACTACTTGATTAGTATACTATTTTGGACATACTTTCATCACTTATTTACTGTGAATACCTTTGGCAATAACCAAGTTGTAAGAGATTAAACAAATTGCAGTTCTACCACATAGCTCTAATGTGGCTATGATTTAAATAGTCATCTTGGGTAAGGTATGGTTTTCTTGCATTCTTTTTTCTTAGAGGAGTGCCTTGCAAACACACATCAAATAACTAACATGGAGGTATATGGTTTGGTAACAAGTTAGTAATCATCAATAAATATACTTAAAGCATTCCATTTACACTGTCCCCTTTCTTTCAAATTTCCAAGACATACTCAAATTTTCTCAGAACCATGTTCATATCGGCTTACACATGAAAATTAACTTACATGTCTTCTAGAACTTTGACAATGCTCTTCAATATTATGATCTCTCCAATTGTAGCCTAAAATACAGTACTAGAAAATGTATGATTTATTATTAGAAATTAGGCAAAATTTAGGTCATCATCTATGGTCAATCAAAGAACCATTCACTTTAGTCTTCCTTTTGCTCAAGTGAAATTACAGAAGTACCTCAATAATGAATAAAGAGTTCCTCCCTTATTTTAAAAAGTAAAGAAAATTCACTATCATACCTATAGCAGTGAGATTCCTGTAGGTTTCCAGCTTCACATCTTTGTCGAGAATCCTCTGGGAAGGATCCAGCAAAGCCCACTCTTCTCGAGTAAAGTTCACATGCACATCATTGTAGGTCAACACATTCTAAAATATTCACACACGTGTACAACAGAAAGCATGAAACGGACAATGTGTACTGGAAATGTCTACTTCGTTTATAATATTTTCACAGAATTCTGGTGTTTCTTCTACTTATTTTCTGACACACAGGTTCTAATGTAATCATGAACTCTTTTTAGGAGGAAACTGAATAGTGAGGTTCACCTCTCTAATTTCTGCATCCTTTCATGAGAATTTGGCTTTGCAAGAGAAATGCCAATTCACAGACATAAAGAGAGTAAACAGATTAACAGTACTGAGCCCACAACAGAGAAACAGTATAAACAATTCCTAACTATAATAACAATGGACAAGCTGGGTGTATTTTCTCAAGTCTTTTATTCCAAAAAAACTCAGGAGACAGGCACAGGAATATTTTATAGAGCTGGATGCTAGCCTGGTCAGTGAAATCAATAAGTTCCAGGACAGTCAGGGGTATATAGTTAAGAACTGAATATTCTGTAAAAATTAATCAACCAAATAAAAAAGATAGAGACGCTGTGAACACTATACCAACAGCTCAGACAATAAGATCAACAATTAACAAAATGGACACATGAAAATGAAAAGTACCTGGAAGGTAAACAACTCTATCAATAGAACAAATGATAGCACACGGACTGGGAGAGGACTTTTACCAACCCTATCTCTGACTGAAAGATAATATCCAAAATAAAGAATTGAAGAAATAAGACACCAACAACAAAATAACCCAATTAAATCATGGCATAAAGAACTAAACAGACAACTCTGAACAGAGGAAGTGCAAATGGCTGAGATGCACTTAAAGAAATGTTTGGTGTCCTTAGTCATCAAGGAAATGCAAATCAAAAGGACTGCATTTCAAGCTTACATTTGTCACAATGGCTCAGATCATGAACTCAAGAGATAGCACATGATGGTGAGGATGTAGAGTAAGGAAAACACACCTTCAGTGCTAGTGAGAATGAAAACTTGAACAACCACTTTGGAAATCCATCTAGACTTTTCTCAAAAAAATTTAGAGTAGTCCAACATCAATACCTATATACCTGAATAGCCATACTACTCTGGAGAATATATCCAAAAGATATTCTACCATAACACAAGGACACTTGCTCAACTATGTTCATAGCAGATTTATTTGTAATAAACAGAAACTGGAAACCTAGACATCCTTCTGCTGAAAATGCATAAAAAATGTGATACAGTTCTACAGTGGAGTACCACTTAGCTATTAATAACAAAGACTTCATTCAATCAGCCAGAGAATGGATGGAACTAGGAAAGACTTTTCTGAGTGAGATAAGCCAGACCCTGAATCACATGGTACCTACTCACTAATAAGTTGGAAATTAACCATAAAGTACAGGATAACCACAAAACAATCCACAGACCCAGAGTGTCAAGGACAACAAAGTGAGGATGTGGGAAACTCACTCAGAAGAGAAAATAAGATAGGTATCTGAATTAAATGGAGGGAGGGGATAGGGTGGGAGAGGGAGTGGGGAGGATAATGGGGATGGACATCAGGTATGGGGAGAATAGAGGCAAGGAAGGAATGAAAAGAGAGAATAGAAAGCAGGGTGGGTGAATTTCTAGGTCATGGGAGGCCTCTGGCATTATATGGGTGTAGCCCTAGATGAGAAGCCATAGCAGCATGGGCCAAGGAACATGAAGTTGCCAAATGAGAAATATAATATGCTCTGTTAAATCTCAAAATTTAACATGTGAATGAAGAGCAATTGAAGAACAGATTTGATATGTACAAATACCTACATTTCAGGCTCATTAGCCAGTAATAAAAACAAAACTACAAAGACAGGCATGTGGGCCCACATCTAATCCCAGTACTCTATATTCATATTCAGGTGGATCTCTAAGTTCGAGTCCTGCCTGATTTACATACCTACTTACAGGACATATAAGACAACACAGAGAAACTTATTCTTCAAAAAAAAAAAAAAAACAACAAATTTAATAATATAAAACAATAGAGCCAATAGCGCCTAAGAAAATAGAAGCAGTAATTAAAAGTCTGCCAAACACACACACACACACACACACACACACACACACACACACACACGCCCTAGGCTAGATGGTTTTAGCATAGAATCATACCGAATTTCAAACAAGAGTTCATACCAATACTCATCAAAGTATTCCACAAAATACAAACAGAAGGAACATTGCCAAACTCATTGTGATGGCACAGTCACCCTGATACACAAACCAAAGTCTCAACAAAGAAAGAAAATTTCAGACCAATCTCACTTATGAACATAGATACAAATATACTCAATAAAATACTCACCAAATCTAGAAACACATCAAAGATATACACGATGAACAAATAGGCTTCATCTCAGGAATACCAGGATAGTTCAACATATGAAAATCCACCAATATAATCCACCATATAAACAAACTGAAAGAACAAAATCACATGATCATCTCATTAGATGAGAAAAAGCTGTTCACAAAATCTAACACCCCTTCATATTAGAAGACTTGAAGAAATCAGGCATACAAGGAATCAGGCACATACTTAATAAAGGCAGTAAAAAGCAAGTTGAGAGCCAGCATGAAATTATTTGGAGAGAAACTTAAATTCCACTTATATGAGGTAGAGGACAAGGATGCCTACCCTCTCCGTATCTCTTCAATATACTAAAGTCCTAGCCAGAGTAATACCACAACTGAAGGTGATCAAGGAGGTACAAATTGTAAAGGAATAAGTCAAAGTATCACTATTTGCAGATGATATACTAGTATACATACGTGACCCAAGAAATTCTACCAGAGAATTCCTACAATTGATATATACTTTCCACAAAGTGCCTGGGAACACAATTAACTAAAAAGATCCTTAGGCCTTCTGCATACAAATGAAAAATGGGCTGAGAATGAAAATTGGGAAACAACACCCTAAACAGTAGCCACAAACAATATGAAGTATTTTGTAGTAACTTTAAACAACAAAGTGAAAGACCTCTATGACTAGAATTTTAAGTCTTTAAAGAAAGAAACTGAGGAAGATATCAGAAGCTGGAAAGACCTCCCAAAATCATGGATATATAGGATTAACATAGTAAAACAGCATTCTTAACAAATGCAATCTACAGATTCAATCCATTTCCCACCAATATCCAAACATAATTCTTTACAGACCTTGAAAGAGCAAACATAAATGTCATATGGAAAAATAAAACACCCTTGAGAGCAGACCAATCCTGTACAATTGAAATAAGGACACAGAAATAAACCCACACTCATACTGGAACTTTACTTTCAACAAAGACAAATCCATACAATGGAATACTGACAGCATCTTCAACAAATGGTTGTGGTCTAACTAGATGTCTGCCTGTAGAAAAATGAAAATAGACCCCTTTGTATCACCCTGCAGAAACTCAAGTCCAAGTGGATCAAAAACCTTGCCATAAAACCAGAGACTCTAAATCATTTAGAAGACAAGGTAGAGAAAAGTCTGGAACTCATTAACATAGGAGACAATAGAACAATGACAGCACAGTCTCTGAGATCAACGATTAATAAATGGGATCTCATGAAACTGAAAAGCTTCTGTAAGTCAAAGGACACTATCAATAGAACAAAACAGCAGCCAACAGATTGGGAAAATATCAACACCAACCCTACATCAGACAGAGAAGTAAAATCCAAAATATACAAAGAACTTAAGAAATTAAACACCAACAAATCAACTAATCCAATTTAAAAATGGGGTTCAGAGTTAAATTGAGAATTCACAACAGAGGAATCTTGAATGGATGAGAAGCACTAAAAGAAATCATCAAAGTTCTTAGCCATCAGACAAATGGAAATCAAAAATGACTCTAAGATTCCATCTTACACCACTCCAATGGCTAAGATAAAAAACGCAAGTGACAACACATGCTGGTGAGGATGTGGAGAAAGGGGAACATTCCTCTCACTGCTGATGGGAGTGCAAACTTGTACAACTTCTCTTAAAATGAATCTGGTGCATTCTCAGAAAAATGGGAATAGTTCTACCTCCAGACCCAGCTATACCACTCCAGGGAATATATCCAAAAGATGTTCCATTACAGGACAAAGACATTTGTTCTACTATGTTCATAGCTGTTTTATTCATAACAGTTAGAAACTAGAAACAACCTAGATGTCCCTCAAATCTAGAAGAATGGATAAAGTACTTCTGGTACATTTACACAATGGAATACTAATCAGGTATTAAAAATAAGAAATCATGGAAACTGCAGGCAAATGGATCAAACTAGAAAACATCATCCTGAGTGAGGTAACACAGACACAGATAGAAACACATAGTATGTACTCACTTATGAGTGGATATTAGATGTATAATACAGGATAACCATACTACAATCCTCAGATCCAAAGAAGCTAATAAACAAGGAGGGTCCACAGGAGGGTGCCAGAATGTCACTCAGAAGAGAAAACAGATTAGACAGCAGAAATGGATGAAGAGAGGGAACTGGTCGGACGTTTTTTTTTTTCCTGTGAAGAATGAGATTATGCTTTTATTGCATTTGCATTGAATTTGTGAATAGCTTTTAGTTGAATGGTCATTTTCAAAATTTTATCTTTATTAATCGAGAAACGTGGGATGTCTCTTCATTTTCCAGTCTTTCTTCAGGTGTTTTAAGTTCTTATTGTAGGTGTATCTTTTTCTTTCATCTGTTTATTACTAGATATTTTACTTTCCTTCAGACATTTCTGAATGGGAGTATGTTCAATGTCTCCTTTGAATGTTTGACGTTGGTATATACAAAAGTAAATTGATTTGTGCAAGTTGATTCTGTATACTGTCACATAGCTATCCTTGTTAATCATTTCAGAAATTTTCGTGATAGAATTTTGAGGACTTGTAATCCATATTATTACATCATCTGGAAAGTGTTGGTATAATGTTCTTTTGAAATGTATACACCTTACCCTTGTTCATTTTAAATGCTGATTTCTCCCTACCCACTCTCTGGTTTCAATCCAGATATTGCATTGTGATACTTACTCTAAGCATCCTGTCTCAACTGTGTGTAAAAGGGCCAAAATAAAACAACTAGTCACAATGTTGTACAATTGGAGGAGCCAGAGGATAGGAAAGAGGGGAGCAACCAGAGGGCAAGAAATGAGTGGAAGGAGAGGTGCAAGAGGAGAGATAGGAGAAAGAAGCAGGAGAGAGAGAGAGATCTTGGAACTATGGGGAGATGGACTGGACATAATATTTCACAAAAAGCAAGTATAATGTGGGAAATCTAAATGTTAGGAAACTATGAGGGCTTGGAGGTTTAGGATGGAGTAACTATTGTCCAGCATTGTGTTCTAGGTTAACTACATAAGCCCAGTCTCTGTGTGGTGATTTGGGTATCGAGATGTTTAGGATTAACAGCAAGCTTTACCACAAGATATATCAATAGTAAATATTAACCACCACCTACAACATGACAGTTTGAATTCTACTTTCCCTATTTATATTCCTTTACTTATTTTTCTTTATTGCCTAAACTAACACTTTGAGCAAAATATTGAAAAGGAGTGGGGGTGGTGAACATAGATGACAAACTTCTGACCAGAGTAAACTTGCCTAGCAATGATTTTGGATACAGGTTTCTTACCTATAGCTTTTATTGTGTTGAGAGGTGTTGCCTCTAGCCTTACAACTTTTGAAATTTTTATGATAAAGGCATTTAGATTTTTCAAAGATTTTTTGTTGTTGTTTTTTTTTGTTTAAGCTATTAAGATGTTCATGTGCATTTTGTTTATACATCATTTATGCAGTTTTTATATTTATTGACTTATGTTGTGCCATATTAGGGATAAGAAATTTGTTCATAGTGGAAATCAGAAATGAAAAATCAGAGTTGAAAGGGGAGACCTAACAACAGACACTGAGGAAATCCAAACAATTAGGTCTTACTACAAAAGCCTATATGGCATAATATTTGAAAATCTAAATGAAATAGACAATTTTTTGACAGATTCCATCTACCAAAATTAAATCAAGATCAGGTAAATAGATTGAATAGTCCTATATCTCCCAAGGAAATAGAATCAGTCATCAAAATCTCCCTTCCAAAAAAGAAAGCCTAGGGCCAGATGGTTTCAGCTCAGAATTCTACCAGACCTTCTTAGAAGAGCTAACTCCAATTCTCTTCAAACTATTTCACAAAATATATACAAAAGGAACATTACCAAACTCATTCTAGCAAGCCACAGTCACCTTGATACCTAAAACCCACAGAGACCCAACAAAAAAAGAGAACTTCAGGCCTATCTCTTTTATGAACGTCGTTGCAAAAATACTCAATAAAATAACTGCAAAACAAATCCAAGAACACATCATCCATCATGTCCAGGCTAGAGCAGTAAGACAACTAAAAGAGATCAAGGGGATACAAATCAGAAAGGAAGAATGATGTGATGAGTGGCCCCAAAAATTCTACCAGAGATCTCCTACAGCTGATAGGAGTCTGAAGTCTTCCTGTATACAAAAGACATGTGAACTGAGAAAGAAATTGGGACAACCACCACTTTCCAATAGTCACAAATAACATAAAGTACGTCGGTTTAACTCTTACCAAGCAAAGGAAAGATCTGTATGAAAAAAAAAATTCAAGTCTCTGAAGAAAGAAATTGAAGAAGGTATCAGAAGATGGAAAGATTTTTCATGCTTATGGATCAGTAAGAATAACAGCAAAAATGATCATCCTAACAAAAGAACTCTAGAGATTAATGCAATTCCCATCAAAATACCAACACAATTCCTTATAGACCTTGAAAGAACAATTCTCAACATCATAGTAAAAAAAAAAAAAAAACAGCATAGTTAAAGCAACTCAGTACAATAAAGAACTTCTGAAGTGATCTTCATCCCTGATCTAAAGCTATACTATAGAGCAATAGTAATAAGAATGGCATAGTACTGACTTGGGGGTCAATGGATTGAATCAAATACACAGAAATAAATCCACACACCTACAGAAAGCGGGACTAAGGCCAGAAATTTAACACTGAACCCCCACGGTATATCCTTCTCCCCATCAAGCTACTTAAGACTTCCAGCCCCCAGTACTACAGCGCACAATCCCCACTTCCCCCCTGAAAAGACTAGCATATCAGTGTTTCATCTGAGAGAAAAATCCTGCTTTTGGAAATGCCTCTCTGTTCTCTTTTAAGTCCATGTCAACTGTATCAATCCTGATCTAACAGACACTACAACATGCACTGAGAAAAGCAGAGAATCATAGCTTCATATTTTAAAAGTCTTCATTCAACTAAGCATTTAAATGTAAAAAAAATAAATGGGTAGACATCTGGATGTATAAAATCTAACATTAAATCAAGATGCAATAAATTATTAAAACAGACATGTAACAACCGAGATAGAAATAATAATTTAAAAATCTCTCAATTAAAAAAAAAGTAAAAGCAAGCCTCGGTCTAGAAATTTAGCACGAATTCTACAAAAATCTCAGAGAACTCACTGCAATACCCCTCAAAGTATTCCACAAAAGGGAAAAGGAAGAAACACTTCTATATTTTTGTGAAGACACCAGTATTATCTTGATTACAAAACAATCAACTTCTGAAAATAACACAACCTAGTATTGTGTTAACTAATTAATAACTCATGTTATAAAGAACTTCTATACAGGTACTCAGTTTTCTGTACAAGAGACACACTCACTTACCTAATATATTAGGACTGGAAGCCATGATTACAGACTACATCAATATCAATGTCAAATATTACTGATTCCCATTAACACTAAATTATATAGTATTCAAACATTCACATTTCATCTTTTATTTACCTAACGTTGACTGAATGAAAAGTTCAATTGACTTGCTCAACAATCTTCTTCATGATACCTATTTGAAGGTGATCTCCAAGGCTCATATGTGTAAATGAGTACTAGTTTATATCTTGTTGGTTTAAAACCCACATATTACACTTATCACTAACATGTAGAGATAATGCCCCAGCTCATGAGCACTGTCTGTGTTCTAGAACTTAATAATGGGGGAAGTTTTGGTTTCACCTTCAACTTACCTCATTAATACTCAATAATTGTGAAAGCAATTAGTTTTCAGTTACTGCTGACTCTAAGATAGGCTATTTATTGTCTACAAAAGGATCTTCTTATGGTCTTTTGTCATAAATACAGATTGTATTTTAGGTGAAATGGCTGCTTTGGATACAGTCCTCTTGTATATATATCTTATGGCACTGGACATATTCCATGAAATCATAAAAATTTTGGTTATTGAACTTGTTATATTTTTACACTATTTACACATATATCTTACAGAATCTCATCTCACACTAGGAAAACATTTGTTGAAAGTCATTCAAACTTAATGTCTTTAAATGAGTGCTTTCAGTCCCCAAATCATGTAAGATACAAATATATACACATATACTTTGACAGAACCTTTTTTCATTTTAATTTGTACTTTCAAGTATAAGATGAAAACCTTTTACTGACTTGTTGACAGTGAATTACTTACCAATAATATAAGATCCTGATGCTTCCCTTGCTTATGAGTGAGGCTTACCTGGCATGGAAGAAGACAGTCTGGCTTTCTGTCTTCTTTAGATCCCATTTCAATTTTGTTCAACAGCGTTTTATGGAGGGCATGGGACACTGCATACACTGCATTCCATATGGAATAGCTGGGCTCAGAAACGGTCACCACGTCATTTTCTTCTGGTTTACTCTTTTTAGAAATTAGGTATGGGTCATGATTTTCACATTGCAAAGCAGGAGGTGAGCAATCAAAACTGTCAATCCAGAATTTATGGAAATAAATATCTCCTGGGTACTGGGAGGGTATAGGAGACTAGAAAAAGTTCATTAAGCCAGGGATAGCTGTAGTCTTTGAATATAAGAAGCTTCCTCTGAAAATGTTCATCAAGTCATTCCTAATTAATACGGACTCGAAATAAAATGTGTTGGTTTGCCATGTTCTACACCTTCCTTCGGGTTGAAAATATTTTATTTACTATGTGGAAAAACTTAGTTACTTATATGACTACAGAATACCTACACGTTTACCTGTGTATTTTGGTTCAAATTCAGCAGTTCAACAGCAAATAGTACCCAAGTTTCAATTAGCTGGGAGTTTCTTTCTTTCTTCTTTTCTTTTCTCTCTTTTTTTTTCTTTCCTTCCTTTCCTCTTCTTCCTCCTCCATTTATTTTTCTCTTTGCCCACGTGTGTATGCCTTCAGACCAGCAGAGGTGGCCAGATCCTTCTTTACTGAGTCCCCAGCACCCTAATCAATAAGCCCAGTACACCTTACTTACCCAATCCCCAGCCCCCTAAATATTTATAGGATCCTCCCTGCTCGTGCACCCGCAGGCCAGCAGAGGGCGCGAGAACAACCTATACAAGGTCATGCACAACCTCACCCAGGGCGGCGTGCACCCATCTCCCCCAGGATGCACGCAGGCCTGGTGGAACGGAGGACTGTGCCTCTTCTCTTCCCGTCGTCCCCCTACCTGCGGTTCTGCCCCACGGATGGAAGGCGGGGGGCGGGGGAGGGAGGCGGGGTACCCCAAACCTCCCCTCCTTCTCTCCCTCCCCCCACCACACGTGTGAGCAGGACTATGAGTTCATAACAGTTTGGAATAAGAAGATTGCTGACCTGGGAAAACCGTTCCGGGTAGCAGCCTGTCTCTAGCGAAAGTCCTGCCCCTTCGGGCTTCGCTTCCAGATCCGCCCCGCAGAGAGCAGAGACTTCCGGGCTCGGAGGCTCCGAGGCCGACCTGCCATCTCCTTGGCCCCCGCCACGGGGATGTAAACACAAACCCTCTACTCACAGACGGACCTTCATTCCTTCGTTTCTCACTTCGGAGCTCTCGCTGGTCAGGGTACTCCCAACTGTCCCAAGATGCTTCCCGACAGAGACCCAGCGGCCTGAGAACTACAAACTTGGCTTTGGAGCGAGGAATTCTGGGATTGTATCGGAGAACTACAAAAATGGCGCTGTCCATCCGTCCAGCCCACCCTCTAATATATTTCTCTACTTATGATTTCCTTTCATGACAGGGACCCTCCATGTAGCGTGACCCCCCAGCCCCCGTCCACACAGACACACCCTATCGGCTTTACCTCGTTTTCTTTAAGGACCTGGCCTGGTTGCAAAACCACAGTGAGGCGAATCATAGAGACGCCTCTTAGTCTTCCAGGAACCATAGAGCCACCCAGGACGAGCATGGCCAAAGGAAGCGGAACCACCGTGAAGCCTCTTAGTCCTCCAGGGCGTATAGAGGGACCTAGGAAGAGCGCGGCCACAGGTAGGCCGACCACGGAGACGCGTGTTAGTCCTCCAGGGCGCATAGAGCGACCCAGGTCAGGCGCGTCGAGAGGAAGGCGGACCATAGAGACTCCTGTTAGTCCTCCAGTTCGCATAGAGCGACCCAGGACGGGCGCGGCCATAGGAAGGCCGACCACAGAGACGCCGACCGAAGACGGGCGCGGCCTTCTCTAGCTCTGCATCCGGAACCAGCGTGGGTTGATGACGCACGTCCGCGTCCCCCCCCCTCCGCCCGCCGGGTATCGCCATTTTTTGGGGAAACGTTGGCCGCGCGCCCCGCTTTTCGGGAATCTCATTAGGATCTCAGGGTCCCGGACGACGGGTCCGAGGCTGCGAACATACCCGGAGGTATTCTCTACAGCCCCAGAGCGGGCGAGCCAGCGGTTCTCCCAAGGACTACATCTCCCAGCATCCCGCGCGGGGGCAGTCAATATGGCGGCGGTCCTCCCATTTTTCGAGCGAGCCAGCTGCTGTCCCAGGGACTACAACTCCCAGGATCGGCGCGGGGCAGCCAATATGGCGGCGGTTTTACTCCTTTCCCGCGAACCAGAGGCTCTCCCAAGGACTCTGCAGACACACCCTATCCGCTAAGCTTCAGGCAAGAGAATCATAGAGACGCATTAGTCCTCCATGGCGCATAGAGACAGACCCATGACAGGCTCGGCCTCTCTAGTTCTACATCCATATCGGCGCGGGATGATGGCGCACTTCCGGCCCTTTTTGTTTATCTTTCGTCCCTGCGCTAATGAGGCAGTGAACTGTTGCTTCCACGTTTTCGGGGAGACGGTGACCGCGCGCCCCGCTTTCCGGGAAGCTCGTCGGAGTCTCACTATGCCGGAGGATCGATCTGTGGCTGCGATGGCGGCGGCCTCCGTGGTGAAGGCGGAAGCGGAGGACCCTGGTTCTGGCAGGACCCGAAACCTCCCGTAGATGCTTTACTGGGACATGTCCGGCCCGGAGCAGGCTCTGTGCCGCCGCTGGCTGCGGTCCGAGTGGCGCTCCAAGGAGCAGATGCTGGAGCTGCTGATCCTCGAGCAGTTCCTCAGCATCCTCCCGCACTGGCGCCCCGAGAGTGGGGAGTTGTCGGCGGCTTGGGCGCGCGCCCTGCACCCGTCCTCCCCATAGGTGAGGACCCCCCTAAATCCCGAGACCGCAGGCGAATGAGTCTTCCCGCTGCCGTGTCAATGGCTCTGAGAAGGAAGGGCGTATTTTGGGATTTCAGGGTTGAACATGAGCCACAGTCCAGGGCCAGGAAGGCGCGGGAAGGGTGTGGCTGGTCCCCTTGCTTCCCGGTTAGCAGTGAGGAGGAGGTGGACGCAGGTGCTTCCCTTTTCTTCCTTCCGCCCAGTCAAAGCTGCTGGGAGATGCTGGCTAGCTGAGGCTAGCCCCGAAGCCGCGTTTCCGGGGTCCCTGAGACCAGTCGAGGTGACATGGAACGCTTTGTTACCCTGTCACTTGGCTCACCAGCTCCTTGCTCTCAGCGAGCACTAACTGAGGTCTTGCGTCCTTCCAGGGCACACCAAGGCCGAGGCCCCTCAGAATGGCTTGTGCGGAGAGAGCACGGAGGACTACGGGAGCACGGCCGTGCCTGGTGAGTGATGCTCCTCTCTGATGCCCTGTGGTCCGCATGGTTCTGGTGAGCCAAGGTCTTCTCCAGGATGCGGTGATGAAGCATCCTTCCTAGAATGCCCCAGTTCCTGTCCTCCTGCCTCTGGAACCCCTCTTCTTACCAGAATGCTCCAGTTCCCATTCCCCGCCCCCGCACCGCCTCCCTCTCCCTGTGTGCCCAGGGGGACAATTTTTATAGGTCGACCCCCCACACCACCCCACTGAGACCTCAAGTCCTGACACTGACATTGGAGTCCCGGGCTGGTCCCGTTCTCTCTTTGCTCACATTCTCTCATTCATTTCAGGCCTGGAGAACCAAGCTGCCTGGAACCCCAACCTGATCCCAAAGCAGGAGAAGGACTGCAAGGAGGAGGCCAAGCCTGCGCAGGCCTGGGTACAAGGCGCGCCCCCGGGGACAGACCCTGACAGGGAAGATAAGCCACCTAAAGATGCCGTCCACCACTGCCACAGCCCCAGGGTTCTCCAGGAGAGCCAGGGCCCACGGCCACCTCGCACGTCCCTTGCACGCCCAAGGAGGAAGGGCTTTGGAGAAGTGGAGAGCCGGAGCACACGGCCACCTCGCAGGTCCTCTGTGTGGCCAAGGAGGAAGAGTTTTGGAGAGGTGGAGAGCCCGGGACGCAAGGCCATCTCGCAGGTCCTCTGCTGGGCCAAGGAGGAGTGGCTTTAGAGAAGTAACAACTTTGAGGAGGTTGCCACCGCCCCTGCCCTTGCTCAGGATCAACCGTGCCACTTTTGTGAAGTAGTCCCCACTGGAGAACAAGTTTGCTGTGGGGAGTGGAGCCCGGCTCATCTCCTCCATCTGCTACTTTGAGTCTGAAAACGATTGGTGAGCCATGCTAATCTCCCTTCCCTTCCTCCTTCCACTTTCTCTTTCATCCCTTCATCTCCATCCTTCCCTTTCCAGCCCCCGAATCCTCTTAATTCATGTAGGAAGCGTTTCCTCCTGACAGCCTCCTGGCAGTTGACTGTATGTGTTCACTGAGAGGTCGTAGATGGACTGGACCTTACTGTGGTCGCAGATGTAGTCCCTGAACGTGAGCTGTACGTCAGTCTCTCAGGCCAGTGTGGTGCACAGGCCTGTAATTCTAGCTGTACTTTGAGACCAGTATGGGGTTCACAGCAAGTCGGAGGCCAGCCTGAACTCTGTGTAGGAAGCTCTTCCCTGACAGAGAGCAAGGCAGCCTTCAGCAGGAGCAGCTGTGCAGTGCAGGGAGCCCATGAAAATACTCAAGGTAAGTCAAAGCCTTACAACTTTCAAAGTAATGGTGCGCATACCACTTACCTCAGTAAATGTAGCTAACATTGCCTGTGGATTTTAGAATTTAAATGGTTTTTATAAACATATAGATCAGTTTTATTTGGAGGGGCTTTATGGGGCGACTTGGAAAATGCTGCTGTTTTTGTCTGTGAGGACAGTGTAAACTAGGTTTTCTCCTTCCTCAGGTTAAGAAGCCGATTCGCTCCACAGTCCTCAGCTTGGGCTGGCACCCCAACAACATTTTGCTGGCTGCAGGGTCAGGTGACTTTAAATGCAAGTGAGGATAAATTGCTATTAACTATTGGTCAGCACTGACAAGTACCCGTTGGGCTCCTTTATTTGCAAAGTACAGTACTCTGCGAGCCACTCAGTGATAAAGAGAACTTCCTGGTCTAGAAAAGGAGCTGGGGCTGGGATGTGGCTCAGCAGGTAGAGAACTTGCAGAGCTGGTTACTATCTCCCAGCACTGCCTGTGGAGCTAAGATTAGAGGCTCAGTTACAGACCGAGATTGAGGGCAGACAGACTATATGAGACCCCATGTCAAGAAAGAGAAAAAAAAATGTGAATTGGTTTACAGTGATGAACAGAGCAAGTAGCAAAAGATATGATGGACTTGGCCGTAGAATTAGCAGGAGTTGCAGCAGGGCACTGGACATAGCAGCCTGGCCAGCAGAGTGAGGGGTCTCCAGTGAGGCACAGTAGTTGTCTCCAGTGTAGGCTGAGCTCATGCTGTGACCACCCATCCATCTTTCTCTGTGTCTGTCCTTCTCAGCTTTTAAATAGCTTTTATCTGTGTGCATGTGGGTATGCATGCCTGGCCAAGGCCAGAAGAGGGTAAGAGATGCCCAAGAGCTAGAGGTGGTTGTGAGCCACCTGATACCAGTGCTGGGAGCCTAACCTAGTCCTCTGCAAGAGCAGCAAGTGTCTTAACCACTGAGCCATCTTTTTTGTTCACTTTTCTGGGTTTTGATGGGATAAGAAGTCAGAAGCATGAAGCCTAGGTTGGTCTGGAGCTCACCATCCTCTCTCAGCTTCTTGTCCTAGAATTACAAGCCTGCACCTTTATGCCAACCGGCTTCTTTCTTGGGTGGTTTCAGGTCCTCATTTTTTGTCCCAGGCCACAGACTACAAATGACAGGGAACCTGATTTTAGCTACATGTCCCTGCGGGTGTATAGACAGAACATTTCCTCTGTCTTTAGCCTGAGGCTAGAGGAGACTCGCCACCCTGCTAGAACTTTAAGAATCAGGCCACGGGTTGCTTTTTAAAACCTGTCCTTCAACAGGGCCCTTTCCCCTTTAGCAAAAGGAAAAGTAAAGAATTCATCACTGTTTTGTGTTGACTCTTTGGGGCAGAATCGACCCACCTTCAGTACCTGTTTAAGGGTTTCCCAACCTGGGGAGTGTGAACCCTCCGTGGGTAAGATCACCCTTTCACAAGGGCCACCCAAGACCACCAGAACACACTTACGTTACACTTTACATCAGCAGCAAACTTGCAGTTACAAAGCAACAATGGGAATAATTTTCTGGGGGCAGGGCACCACAGTTCGAAAAAGCATGTGAAAAATTTCCAGAAAACCAGCCCTATCATTTATACTCAGGCTTAATTACAAAATGAATAAGCAAAAACAAAACAAAACACCAAAACGGGCAGTGTTGCTTAGTGATGGAGCATTTGCCGAGTCTGTAACAAAGCACCAGGTTCAATGTTCAGCACCGTGAACAAAAAACTAAGAAGAAAAATGTGAGTGGTGAAGGTGGAGCTAAGATAGTCTCGGGGCTCTGTGCTCAGGAGTTTGTGATCCCCTGGCTCTCCCAGCAAATAAGACAGGACGGGACTGTCTGGACATGTCAGTCCACAGTTGCCCGTGACCCCCAGGCAGGAGAAGCCCACGCCCCTAACCCTTCAGACCCTCAGCTGCTGCTGTCATTTGGAAGTTGGGCTTAGGGAGCTAGAGGTTTGCTTTGGTTTGGTTTTGAAAACAGAGTTTATCTGAGTCACTCTAGCTCAGGCTGGCCTAGAGCCCACAGAGATCCCCCTGCTTCCCTCCGCCTCCCCGAGTGCTGGAATTAAATGCTTGGAGCCCAGAGTTGTTTTACAGAGTCTTGAGGTTCAGGCTCCTCCTCCTCTTCCTCCTCCTCGACCCCTCTTCCTCCTCCTCCTCCTTCTCCTTCTCCTCCTCAAATCTTCCTCCTTTCCTCCTTCTCAACGATGACTCCTCCAACTCCAACTCCACCGACTCCTTCTCCGACTCCTTGACTCCTAGTCTTCCTGCCTTGGCCTCCAGGGGTCATACTCATGTTCAGATGCTTTCCAGAGAATCAGAAGAGGCCAGAGGAGGCAGATTCTGGCCCTTCCCCGTCCCTCAACCTCCTAAGGTCTCAGAGGTAACAGTGGAGCCGAGGTGGGGGCCAGCTCTTTGTTGGCAGGGCAGGCCTGCCTCTCTCAGCCCTTTGTTGGGTGTCTTCACCTCTAGCTTTATTTATCTGTATGTGTGTGCGCCCACGACCTGTGTCCACCCGGCTTCGTGCCTGGCTTCCAGGCGCAGGCTGCCATCTCTGGCTCCCTGAGGGTGATGCGGATCTGAACTTAGGTCTCCGTGCTTGCTAGTTCAGCAAGCGCGTCCCTGGCTGTCTTTTCCTGTATCTGCCCATCCTAACCTGCCTTCCACCTCCTTCCTCGCTCTTTCCACAACAGTGTTTTCTCGGCCTACATCAAGGAGGTGGACGAGAAGCCGGCCAGCTGATGGCGGAGTTCAGCAGCAGCAGCGCCGGCTGGGTGTGGGGCGTCAGCTTCTCCACCAGCGGGAGCTGCCTGGCCTGGGTCAGCCACAGCCTGTGGCTGACGCCTCCAGAGCATGCAGTGAGTCCTCACCTGATTGGGGGGGGGGGGGATTGGAGGGGGTACAGTTAGCGATCTATGCCGGCTTTCCACGGCATGCTGGCTCACCACACAGTGAGGGGAAGTATAGACAGCTAGCGATCTGGACACGCTGACTCTCCTTGGCAGCTAGGGGAAGTGTATACAGCTGGCGGAGAGGCACAGGATGGAGCAGCTGGATCCCACTGAGGATCAGTAACCCACCCCCACTCCTCAGGCAGCGCCTGTAGCCAGCAGGCCCCCGTCTCTGCCGCCCTGATGAAGATGATGGTTGGGAACTGGGAGGATGGCGCCTCAGATGCCTGAATGTCTCCCCACTTCTGTGGTCCTCACCAGCCCCCAGGGAAATGGGACGGAGCATGGTGGCCCAGGAGGCGGAAGCAGGAGGCTCCGGAGTCAAGGCCAGCCCGGTCTCTGTCCCAGAAAACCAGAGCTGAAGCTGCTGCCCCCGCCTGGCACACACACACCCTCAGCTCCTTGCCCTGACACCACCCCAAACAGGACAGGGGCCATCTTCCTCCTGCCTTCGTGCCACCCCAGGTCTTTGGGGAGAACCCAAATGGTGCTTTGTCACCAGACTGCAGTGAAGGTGGCTTGGTGGCAAGGGAAGAAGACCGGAGCTCGCTTTAGGGCGGCTTGGCACTTGCCCTCTCATTGTCAGCCCTTAATGCACCAGGGGTTGGCCTCTGCCTGGCCACCCCGTGAGGATGCGGATGTGGTTCCTCCCAACACTGGCTCGACTAGTTCTCTTGTCAAAGGGTCACCATGGCAAAATTGTGCTCTGGGACAGCTTTGCTTGTGTCAAGCTTTTATTTTGTTTTTTGATTTTTGTTTGTATTTTGTTTTGTTTTTAAATTAAAATTTTTATATTAATTGTAGTTTATTTACTTTGTAGCCCCCTTCCTCCTGTCATCCCTCTCTCCTTGTCATCCCTCCATCCCCATCATCCCTCCATCCCACTCTTCCTCCCCATCATCCCTCCCTCACTCATCTCCCTGCTCCTCCCCCAGTCCACTGCTACGGGAGGTCCTTCTCCCCTTCCATCTGACCCTAGTCTAGGTCTCATCAGGACTGGCTGCAATGTCCTCCTCTCCTCTGTGTCCTGGCAAGAATGCTCCTCCCTTAGGGGTTTGGGGGGTCAAAGAGCCGGCCACTGAGGTCATGTTAGAGACAGTCCCTTGGTGTCAAGCTTTCGTCCCTCTACATGAATACACTCTTACAAGCCAGGCACGGTGGCACAGGCCTATGATCCCAGCATCCAGGGAGCTGAGGCAGGGGGATCGTGAGTTAATGGCCAGCCTGGTCTGCAGGGTAGAACCCTCACGTGACGCTGGCACAGCCCAACTTTTGTCTCGGAGAACAGCATCGTGGCTGCGGTGAGTGTGCATCCCTTGTGGTGTGCTGCCTGTGCTGGGTCCAGGATGTGCCCAACACAACCTCCTCCGCACACAGTCCCCCACAGTTTGCCCCCTCGTGGGGTGCCACCTGTCTGTTCCAGTCCCAGGGTGCTCCCCCACAGCCTTCCCCAGGGTGGGCAGGGGGATGCCACCCCCATTGCAGGGCCATGATTGCTGCCCGATGCTCTTCAGCTATGATGACCACAGCTGTCTAAGCTTCATATCCAAGCTGGAGGTCTCCAAGAAGAGCACCCAGCACAACATGTCGGCCATGGAGTGCTTCTGCAACATGGACAAGAGGGCCACCACCAAGGACCACAACTCACAGCCCTGGAGATGCTGCACATGAATAGCATCACATGGGCCGGTTTGACAGACGGGGTGGCCTGGGCCTGCCCATCAGCTCAGTGTGACAGGCGGTGTATGGTGGGGTGAGCCTTCTCATCAGCTCGTGACAGGCAGCGGGGTGGCCGGGGACAGCACAGCCTTTAACCCTGGTGCCCAGGAGGCGGAGGCAGCTGTGAATCAGTTCCAGGCCAGCCTGGACTACAAAGTGAAACCCTGTCCCACCAGCAAAAGGGGAGCGACCAGTGCCTCCTCGTTGTGCCCTGTGGGGTGCTTGTGGCACCCAGCACTCAGGAGGAGGGGTGCGGCACCTGGCAGAGCAGGCCTGGCTGGCTGAGGGGAACACAGGTCCCTGCTGGGCATGGTGGCCCAGGCCTGTGGGTCCAGGCTCTTGCCAAGCCAAACAAGGTGCATGTGCTGCACAGAGCCTGCACAGAGAAGGGAGAGAACAGAATCTCACAGTCGTCCGCTGATCTGTGTACCAAACAAAGCATAATGAATAACCTGAAATGATAGTGAATGTGTAAAGGCCTTTCTCACGGGCTGCGCTGTGGCCTCTGCCCTTCAAGGGCTAGCTAGGCTGGAGTTTGAGGAGGAGGAGGCAGACTTTGGAAGCTCTCCAGAAGGTTGGTTCACCCGGGTTTGCCCCAACTGGCCAGCTGTGCTGGCATCTGGGGGTGACAGCCTGCTGTAAGGAGTTGCCCTGTTTTGTTTCCTTCAGGGTTATGAACTTGGGATGGAACTCAGGACTCATGAAGGCTGATTTCAGATGCCAGAAAGGCTTTTGGCCTTGGGATCTGGCTGTCCCAGCAGGCTGCTCTTTGGGGCCTTGTTGGGGATCAGTTGGATTCAGCCATGCTCAGGTCACACCTGAGCTTGGAAGGAGAAAACAGTTCTTTGTCTCCGTGTCTGTTGAGCCCTGCCATGTCCCTACCTGCCTTCATGATGAGGCTGTGGTCTCTCCTCCTCCCAGTCCATTCCCTCTTCCCCTCCCTCTCTTCCTGCTGCCTTCCTCTCTCCTTCCCCTTTCTGGTTCTTCTCCATTCCCCCTCTCTCCTCCCTTTCTTTCTCCTCATTTCTTCCCTCTCCCTTCCCCCTCTTTCTCCTCTTCCCCCTTCTTCTCCCTCCCCTCTCTCTCCCTCTTTCCTTTCTCCCTTTCTCTCTCTCCCTTTCTCTCCCCCTCTCTCACTCCCTCTCTCCCACTCTCTCCTTTCCTTTCTCTTTCCCTCTCTTCTCTCTCCCTTTCCCTCTCTTTACCTTCCTCTTCTTCCCTTTCTCTCTCCTTTCCCTTCTCTCTCCCTTTCTCTCCCTCTCTCCTTCCCTCTCCCTTCCTTCCTCTTCCTCTCTCTCCCTCCTTTTCCCTCTTCCTCTCCTGCTACACCCACTCCAGCGTCTGGCGTGGCATATCAATAGATAGCGCTACTCAGACTATGTGTCCTTTGGGATTATGCTCTCTGGAGGTCCCTGGCAGACCCCCCCCCCCCGCCTGGCAAAGAGACGTATTCTGAGATTTCTACGCTTTTTTGGTTGCGGTTGTGGGGCTGGATTAATGAGGTTTTTTTTATCTTTCTCTATGACTCCTAAAACAGCACAACTAATTCTATAAAGAAATTTATCATTAGTAAATTATTAAAGGCTTTAATAAGAATAAAATGTAAAAAGAATAAACTTAAGAAAAGTAATAAATCAGATTCAGTATCAATAGGCATTATAAGAATAGTAAAAAAAATAATAGGCTCCTTCTTAGAAAAATATAGCACGAGAAGTACAGCTGGCTCGAGCTTGCCCCCCTTATTGTTTTGTTCCTAGGGAAGATCATAAATCTTTAACAGGACATATGGGAGGATGGTTGACAAAGGTGTGTTTAGACTTTGGCAGGCATCTGACTTAGCTCCTGACTTTCCTCTTCATTGGTTAGCAATAATGAAACTGCATTTGAGGTTTCTTTCCCTTTGTCTGCTTTGATCAAAAGTTTTTAGGCCAAGATTTCTTGTGGGCACTCCCCTATGTTAAAATGTAAACTTTGTATTCTTGGTAAAAGTCTAAATGTTCTGGAAAGTATGCCAATTTTAAGGTGCCTTTTTGTAAGATCATTATAAAAATATCAGCTTGACTTTAGTAAAATTGCAGCAGATTCCAAAGCCTCACTGGTCTCGGTCTCTGTCAATTCGCCGAATCCGTGTCTTCCTGTCCAAAGCCTTGTTCTCCCGCAGACACCGGGAGCCCAACTGGGCCGGTCTGTGGCACTCTCCTATGACACCAGATGGTTGTGAACCACTGTGTGGGTGTTGAGACTCGAACTCAGGACCTCTGGAGGAGCAGCCAGTGCTCTAACCCTCTGAACCACCCCTGCAGTTGCCCTGACCTTGAACTTGTAACCTTCTGCCTCCCTTCAGATGGCTAGGGCTCCATGCAAGCACCAGCACCCAGTGTATGTGGCATCGGGGACCTGGCCAGGGGCTGGTGTAGTCTCGGGCCTATCCGCTGGGTCACATCGCGGGTGAGTGAACCCTCCTGCTCTGGGACAGGGTCTTGTAGTGTGCCCCGAGGGATCTGGAGCCCAGTGCACCCCCAGCCATCTGTGGGTGCGGGGCTTGGGGGGCTGGCCTTACTCCCTCCACAGACTTCACAGTCCTGCCCTTCTTTTAGCCAGGTGTCCATTTACGAGGTGGACAAGCAGGACTGTCACAAATTCTGCACCACCGGCATCGACGGGGCCATGACCATCTGGGATTTCAAGTATGTGTCCCTGGTGGTGGTTGGCCAGCCACAGAGTCCCTAAGATGAGGGCCCCGGTCCCTGGCGGGTGGGTGGGTGGGTGGTGGTTCCTCGTCCTCAGGAAAGCTTGGTCCATGTTGAAGCCAGCAGCCCACACAGCTGTGCATAGACACAGCTTCACAGTTTACACAGTTGGCCGTGCTCTCAGTCCTGGAATGCCCAGACTTGGGAGGCTGAGGCAGAGGGATTGCTTTGAGCTTGGTGCTAGCCTGAACTAGATGATAGGACCTCACCCCCAAAATAACAGTGCAATGAGCTGAGAAGGTAGAACATCCACATGCGCACATGCACACACACACGCGCACATGCAACAAGTGTGATAATACAAAGGGTAGTATAGGGCCTGGAATGATGGCTCAGCAGTTAAGAGCACTCTCCTAGGACTCAGGATTTGGTTCCTAACACCCCCTTGGCAACTCAAAATCAAATGTCACTCCAGGTCCACGGAATCTGATGCTCTTCTGCCTTCCACAGACACCAGGCACACATGCCGTGCATACAAACATACATACGTACATAAATGCATACCTACATACATACATAAATTAGCTGGGTGTGGTGTCACACTCCTGTGACCCCAGCACTCAGGGAAGCAGAGGTGGGGGCATCTCTGTGAGTTCGAGGCCAGAACGAGTCCCAAAAAGCCAGGGCTACATAGAGAGACCCTGGCTCGAAAACACAAAACAACAAAATGACATCAGTAAATCTTGAAATAAAGGTCCAGACCTAGGGATGCATTCATGTCTTTAATCCCAGGAGTCAGATGAGGGCTGGTCTCCATGAGTTGGAGGCAGCCTGGTATATACAGAGTTCCAGGCCAGCCAGGGCCAGGCAGTGAGGGGAAGAAGAAGTGGGAGGGAGGGAAGGAAGGAGGGAGGAAGAATGGAAGGACAGAAAGAGGGAGGAAAGGGTAGAAGAAGGAGTAGGGAAGGAAGGAGGGAGGCTGTGCAGCAGGAAGTGATGTGAGTTCTTGGGGAAGGAGACTCCAGGTGCCGGGGAGTGCAGCAGTGTGGCAGGGAGCCAAGGTCTCCAGAGCTGACAGAGTTCTGCTTTCTCCAGACCCTGGAGTCATCCATCCAGGGCCTCCGAATAATGAGAGGATTTGCTGCCCGCCCTAGGACCAGGTCTCCTTGAATGAAGTAACATGTCTTGGGCATAGTAATATTCACTTAATAAAATATATACTTTAAATATTCAAACTGTATGAGAAACCAGCAAAATAGTAGCTGGTCCATTATTACAGTGAGTAATTGTATTATGGATCAGAGAGGAAAAATGTTCAGGGGCACCTGGAAGAGTTCAGATCAGAGAGAAAAAGAAGCAGACTTGATATGACCAAGACTGTCTCAAAGAAAATTGAGAATATTAGGAGAAAAGTAGATATAGCTTAGAGACAAAGTATGCTTTCATCAATGCACAGGCTGGACCTAGGTCCCCCAACACTATGAAGCAGATGTACAGCTTGGTCAACATGTGGGTCCCCTAACAATTGGACTGAGAGCTGTCTCTGACTCTGTTGCTTGCCCTTAGTTCCCTTTCCCCTGGCTGGGCTGTCTTGCCTGTTCTTAGTGAGAGAGGATGCTCTTAGTCCTGCCTGATGTGATATGTCAGGGTGGGTTGGTATATATAGTGAGTCTCCCTGAAGAGAATGAGGTAATGGTGGAGGGGAGAATGATGGTGGGACTGTGAGGAGAGAAGGGATGGGGGCCTGTGATGAACATATGAAATTAATAAATTAATTGGTGGATAGAATATTTAGGAAATTAGGATAGTGCAGAAAGAGATGAGGCTGTTAGGGAAGGCACAGGAATCTAGATGGACGTTTTGAGGTGTATAACAAGTACATTTACTTCCCCTTCAGAAAACCCAGAGGCCAACATGGGTGTGATATCCTGATAGGAGCCACAGGTCAATAGAGAGCAGTATGTCCCTTTTGTTGGAGCAGGAAAAATGGTTATTTCACTGGACAAGAACTAGTTCATAAATTCCGTATGAAAGCTGTTTTTGATATGTGTGTTTGTTTGTTTTTTGTTGTTGTTTGTTTCTAATCACCAGAATTCCTTTGATACTGCATGTTGAACAGGTACAGTACTGACATTTTTTGATAATTGCACTTCCTGGGTCCTAACAAGTTTAAACTGTTAGGAAAGCCTGATTACATTCTTCACACCTATTTATGTCCTTTTAAAACATAATGGGTTTAGTTATCACATGACACTGTAGAGATTTCCTTCTAATGTGTTTTTATTTCCCATACTCAAATGTATCATAATTTTAAAATCATAATTATTCAGCAGAATATCTTTATAAAGAACTTTACAGTCTGGTAGAGTTTTGCTATCTTAATTAGAAATGTATAATTATGCATATTAATGAAATCACACACTTTGCAGAAGGCAAAAATTATTATTATCACCAAAATACAATCATTTTTAAAGACAGGCATTCTAATTTTAAATGATTTGTCCATGTATACTACATTTCTTTATTATGAAACTTACAGAGCATCTCCCATGTTTCAGTCACAGTTCTTTGTTTCTCTAGGATAAATACATAAAATTTCCTATATACAAATAAGCATGTGCACTCCTCTCTATTCTTTGAAACTTTCTGACTTCTCTGTGTATGAAGGTTTCTGACTCTATCTCAGTAAAGCACATTCATCCTTAAAGTATGCTATGATTTTTGCATATGTTAGACTCCAAGGTTCACAGTCTTAATGCTTTTGCATGCTGCCTTTTTTCATATGGACCTTTAACAGGTTAAAAGAATTAGGAATTAATAATCTTTGGAGATGAATATAAATTTCACAATGATTTTTTATATTACTGATTTTTAATTTTCATTTTTATTATCATTTATTATTTTTTCAAATTTTATTGTAGCTGTGGCCCCCTCCCTCATCTCCTCCCAGTCCCACCCTCCTTCTCTCTTCTTCCCCTCTGCCCCTCCCTTAGTGCACTGATAGGTAATGTCCTCCTCCCCTTCTGTTTGACCCTAGTCTATCATGATCTTTTATAGACGTATTCCTCCTATTGTTGCACACATATTATTACAGTTATCTATCCTTCTATCTAACATCAATCATCTGTCTATCATCTATATCATATCTTTTACACACACATACACACACACATGAAATAACATGAAAACGAATTCCACACACATATAGTTCAAGAATTGTTCAAAATCAATGTTTTAAAGTCAAAAGTTTGCAGGAAATGAAATGCTGTGTCACTTAGGGCCTGAGCCTTGGAATATTGACATCTCAGTGGTTTTTCCCCCTGACTACTACAGAATGTGTACACTTCAGTTGTTCATCTACAAACTGCTGTAGCCGTTTTTGCTTAGTGCCAGAAGAGAAAAGCTTGATTTGTGCCCAGTGAAAGGTTCTTCATTCCAGGCTCCACTGTAAAGGTATTTTTATCAGAGACTTATGTTAGAATTCATAACAGTAACAAAATTACAGTTTATAAAGTAGCAATGAAATAATTTTATAATAATGAACCATAATAACCATAAAATAATTTTATGGTTGTATCTTACGACATGAGTAACTGTATTAAAGTATTAACCACTGTCTATATCCTACCAGCTACACTTCTTCAAACTTGCGTCTTCTCATGACTCTTAACTTGATCACTTCTTAAAAAAAAGGCCTATTTCTCCAATCTATTCCTGATACTTCCCTTCCTAAGTGACCTCTTCCTCCCAATTACATTTTAAATATGCTTATAGCTCAACAGAATCCTGCTTTAGGAATTGAGCCTGTGTTTTAAAACTATGCACCCTTTGAAATTTAGTATGGATATCAGTCTTGTAATTATCCACTGAATACCTGTTCTGTTAGGTCGAGACCTGTCCCAGGAGAATCCATATTTACCCACATGGAAGCCTATGAGGAGTTCACCTCCAATGGAATATACTGAACCTTGCTATGCTAAGGCCCCATGAAACTCAGAAGAGATTGAACAAGAAAAAAAAACTACATCTCTCCTTGTTCAGTGATGTTTTGGTTGTGTCTAATAACCTGTGAGTATGTCCCTCATGCCTCCCATAGTATTAGAAGCTACACTTTGATTAGGCTTTACTGTACAAAAATAAAATAGTTTTTGATTTATGTTTTGCTTTATAATTACTTCATAATTTCCCAATTTTATTTCTTATTACACATCCTCCCATGTTCCCTTACTTGGTCTCTTTTAAAATCATAGCTTCTTTTTTAATTAATTGTTGTTACACAAATATATGTATATTAAGGTATATATATGTGTGTGTGTATATATATATATATTCCTAACTACATAAATATAATCAGCTCAGTCAGTATAATGTTAATTGTATATATGTTTTCAGGACTGTCCATTTG